CATAGTTTTAAATGTAAATTTAATATTTATTTTTAATATTACCCGAACTCTGATAAACGTAACGATTGTTATAATTATAATTAGAACATCTGTTAATCAATTGATTTTTATATTCTCATTGACACTCTTTTCTATGAGAATAACTGTATTAAATGAAAATCAAATTTGCTTTTAAAAGAAATATTTATTAAATTAGTTAAACTGTAATTACATTGATTTTGAAGTGACGACAACAATACGGCTCAAAGTATTTGCAAATTAAACCCATTTAGAGGACATTAAGAAGATATTGAAATCAGAGAAGCGGTCGGAGTGGTGACGCTCTACCGATAAGCGGCCACTACTTGAGCCACATTCTCGAGGTCTATCTTTTCGGTGATGTTCTTAGTCTTGATGTTCTCCTCCTGATTGGCCACAAATACGAATCCATTTTCAATGTCTTTCCAACCGTTTTGTGTCATCCATTGATTCAATTGATTGTCAGCCAAACTCCCTAACAGTGAGCGCAGCGAAGACTTCTCAATGGACTGGTATGTGATTTGTATGACATGACAGATGACTGCAAATTACAAAATATCAGAGTATTATACATGAGTTACACCGGCAAATGCTTTTACTAGAAATGCTTACACTTTTGGATAGAGTTCTCAAATCCAGTGATTCCTTGTATGAGCTGAGGTCTGATGGATAACTCGCGCTTAAGACATAATCACATCAATTAGAATTTGATACACAATAGTCATCAACATATATGTTAAGACATTTTAAGTAGTTTTGTTCACTTAAGACAAAAACATTTTATTATGGATTAAGTAAAACATTTGGAGAATAAGTGATTCAATAGTTTAGTCCAAAAGCGAAAACTTCACAAAATGTTTGTACGATTGAGAAGTCATTATATTTGGACATCAATTAGAAGGTTAAGCGGGAAGTGATTAAGTGATGGTTAAAGTGATAATAATTACCCAAAACTCTTGGAAACGACATGTCTCGAGAAGATTATGTAAACTCGTGATGAGAGCGATGTTCTCCTCCTCGAGAAGTGTGGAGTCGATGAGACACTTGCAGAGCACGAAGTCTGTGTTGGGAAGCGCTGTCAAGGCCTTCAGCAGAATCTTAATCACCGTTTGCTTCTTCGTCTGGCTTGGATTGAATTGGTATAACTTAAGGACAG